CATTGCTGTCTATCTGCAGCCTAAAAATCCCTATGCCCAAGAGAGGGGCAAGTTCTTTGGTCTCTTCTATGCAGTGGGCACTCCTTCTCTTAACCCTCTTGTATACACCCTGAGGAACAAGGAGGTCAAGAGGGCCTTCTGGAGGCTGCTGGGGAAGGATGGGGACTCTGAGGAGAGCTGAGGGAGAAATAGCATTCTTTCTAAATTAAAATGAATTTGAGCTTTTATTTAAAAAAAAAACTTAATTTCCAAGTCCACTTACTCTTTCATACCATCCAAGCCACAACAGTGGACCAGGTGAGTGACAGGTTATAGCAAGATGGGCTAGTGAAAAGTAGAGAAGCAGAAGCAGAAGAGATTAGGAAGAGGAAAAGTGCCAGGTGTTTCTTCCAAAATTAAGCCTTCTTACCTGGACTGATAAAGAGGGCAGCTTTTATAAAGGGTTCAAGAAATTCAGAAGCAAAAAAAAATTTACAAACCCTAGGAAGCTCATGAAACTTATAGGACTCTAGTAATTCCTCCTTGAGCTGACATAACCAGTAAACAATTGGAAGAGAGAATCCTCCCCAGAGACCTAGCTACGAGCAACTTATACACCTGACTCCAGTGAGACAATAGACATGTGTCCTTATCCATGCTTAAGTGAGGCTTGTCTGTATAAAGCCACAGGTGTAATACATCACTCAGGCTCTATAAGTAGCCACAGTAAACTCAATAGATGACCATGTTGGACTTGAATGGAATGATTTATTTGTCCTACCTTTGGTGCCCTTTCTAAGAGTTTATTCACATTTGTCTAGGGTGGAAAAAGAGGGGGCAAGAGCGAGATGCTGTGGGATGTTCTGTATGGCAAATGTGTTGCTCTGATTGGTCAATAAATAAAACACTGATTGGCCAGTGGTTAGGCAGGAAGTATAGGTGGGACTAACAGAGAGGAGAAAAGAAAGAACAGGAAGGCAGAAGGAGTTACTGCCAGCCGCCGCCAGGATAAGCAGCATGTGAAGATGCCGGTAAGCCACGAGCCGTGTGGCAGGGTATAGATTTGTGGAAATGGATTAATTTAAGCTATAAGAACAGTTAGCAAGAAGCCTGCCACGGCCATACAGTTTGGAAGCAATATAAGTCTCTGTGTTTACTTGGTTGGGTCTGAGCGGCTGTGGGAGTGGCGGGTGACAAAGATTTGTCCTGACTGTGGGCAAGGCAGGAAAACTCTAGCTACAGGGAGAGAGTTAAAGACAGACAGACAGATGGACAGACAGAGAGACAGATAGAGGAGGTATCTTTAATTCACATTCAAAATGTAGTTAATATTAATCTCCTTATGTTTGTTTTCTTTCCCACTCAGTTTTTAATTGTCCTCCTTTTGTTTATAGATTCCCAATCCTCTGTATTCATTTTTCCTAGTTATCTTTACCATTACACTATACTTTATTATAGGGTTTGGGGGGGTTGTTGTTTGGTTTGTTTTTAGTTTTTTTTCAAGGCAGGGTCTCACTATGTAGCTATAGCTAGCCATGAATTCACTCTGTAGACCAAGCTGGCCTCAAACTTTCACATATTCACCTGCCTCTGTCTCCCATGTGCTGAGATTAAAGGTATGTGCCACTTTAACACAATTCTGGAGTATTCTCCACTGTATAACTAGAAAGAAGCCAAGGAAAATCCCATTTTTAAAAAAAGAAACAAGCAAGCAAAAAACAAACAAACAAACAAAAATAAACCTAACCCAGAGACTTTCCTACTCAAAGACAAGAGCATTCAGAGAATTGGTACTGCTTTTAGAAATGTGAGAAACACTAGAATTTGATCTCTCTCCCTCCCCTTGTCCCTTCTTACATGGGATTCTTGCCAGGGTCAAACCCGAGACAGAACTAGTCCAGAGACCCAGATGTCCTCACTGGTGACCTTGGGAAAGAATTCTTCTTGAGACTGACATCCTTGCTGATTGGCAAAGAATCAGAGGGGTACTCTTGTTCTGGGTCATAACTTCTCCTCATCTTGTTTTCTAGACTACAGAAAGAAAAAAGGAAAACAGATAAAGTAGTATTTCAATTTCAGGAATTTTGTGGGTTAAGGAGATGGAACAAGAAGCATAGAAATCCTTGAACCTCCTATCCTACTCTAAGCTGATAGAATATCCCAGATGAAGTCAACCCACCCAGTAAGTCTTCTCTAGAGAAAAGCCTTCTTCCTCTCCAGGAATAAAGGTTTATGAGGGAATTTGTCAGTGCTTTGAAAGTGAATGATAGTCTAGAAATGCAAAGCAAACTCAACATAAAATCTGCTGTGGGGACTCGAGAAATGGCTCAGCAGATAAGAGCACCGGATGCTCGTGGAGAAGAACACTGGTCCAGTTCCAAGAACCCACTACTGGTTTAAAACTGTCTTCAGTTCTACGGGATCTGCATCCTCTTTTGGCTTCCCTAGGCACCAGGAACTCACATGGTGAATTTATATACATTCAGTCAGTGCTCATAAACATAAAATAAGAACAAATAAATTTCAAACATGCACCTAATGAATAAATGTTTCTTTTAAAACCTACAGTGAATTCTTTATGATTTGTTTTGTTTTTACTTATGTGTATTTGTCTGTGTGTGTATGGTCAAGTGTGTGCAAGTGCATGCAGAGACCAGGTCCTCTGCTCTTGCACTGCTCTTGCAGAAGAAGATCCAACACCCATATCAGAAGACTCACAAACCCAGGTCCAGGGAATCTGAGCCCTCTGGCCTCTGTAAGCACCTGAATGTGCACATGCCTAGTTACATACACTCAGAGAGACTTGCATCCCCTGGAGGTAGAATTTCAGGCCATTGTGAGCCACCATGGATGGCTACTAGGATCCAAACCCCAGTCCTTGGCACAAACAGTAAGTGCCTTAAGCACTGAGCCATTTCTCCTGGCCTCCGAATTCTTATTTACTGATGGTGCAGTTAGCATTCAGCAGAAGCAGAAGACTTGGAATATACCTTTGCCTAACATGTGTGAGGCTCTTAGTCCAATTCTCAGAACTGGAAGAAAAAAAATGGATTGAGAGAGATGACTAAGAGAATGTACTGCTCCTGCAGAAGATCCAACACCCATATCAAAAGGCTCACAACCCAGGTCCAGGGAATCTGACACCTCTGTCCTCTAAGCACCTGCACATGCACATACCTATTTGCATACACACACATACTTGTAATTTAAAAAATATTTTTTAAAATTCAGTGGAGACAGAATGGCTGGGTCAGAAGCTTGGGAAATCTCCCTGAAAATCACCAATAATCTAAGCTAAATAAAACGCACCATTGCAAGACACTGGAAATTAGCCAAAAATATGCAATAAACTCTACTTATTCAGAAAAAAATTACTGAACCTGAGAAAGAACATTCTGGGACATGTTAGTCTGGAGCTGGTCCCAACAAGCCTCCACCCATATTGTGAAACCAGGTTATTCAGGCAGGCCACAGGGATCCGAAGTTCTGGTGAGGATGGAACTGTTTTTATTTGGAGCAGGCAGAAAAAAAAAAGAATAATACATATTTTGAGGTTATCAAAAGCAACAACACCTCAGTGGGTACTAGGAAATGTCAGCGATGTAGCTGCTCTGAGGTTGCAGTGTTGTTTTGATCAAGTAACTGACTGGCAAGTCAGCCAGACATGTAACAGCAAGTTCTACACAGTAAGTCAACCAAAGCCTTAGTCCAACTCAGCGTATCTCTGGTGTCTGGAATGGCCAAATACAGTGCCCCTTGTGATGTTTATCATGCTGAATACCAGGCAGAAAATAAAAGTCAATGTAGATTTGTAAGCTGCCTGAACTTGGAAAGCATTTCCCAAGTTACATGTAAACCTATCAGAAAAGGGTGAAATCATGCTGGTTCTAAGAGTTTAAGCACAAAACCTCCAACCCACCACTGGCTGACCAAAATTAGCTCTTCTTTCCCTGGAGAAATACATAAGAAGACCACCTCAAAAACATAATTTGGGTTTGTCATGGTGGTTCATATCTGTAAGAGACTCTGTATCAGAATAAATAATAAAAGTTGAGGGTGTAGCCCAGTGATAGACAGAGCACATGCTTAGCATACTTGGGGAACTAGGCTCAATTTCCAATAATAAAAATATAAAATGATGTTTAAAAGTTGAGTTATCCCTAAGTAGAGATATCAATAGCTACACACAGCAAAGAAAACAAATTTCATAAAATTTACCCACAAGAGAAATTCAACAAATAAGCCTAAAATATCATTGGTTTTCATCCATTAGATGAAGATCGATTACAATGGATATTTGCTGCATATTATCTAAAATATCCAATTTTTAGTGGTGCCTTCCTTCTGGCTCGTGCCTGTGGTCTCAGCACATCAAAGGCTGGGTGGATTGTCTGCAGTTCAAGGTCATCCTGAGTTAACGTAGTGAGTACTGGGTCATGCATAGGTACCTAGTAAGATCCTTTCTCAATAAAAGGTCCAGTTTTAGCCCTCAAGAAGAATATATATATGAACGCGTGTGATGTTAGACGTAGAGGAGGGCTGTCAATGGTTTCTGGCAGGTCCCAATGTTGCCGTGGGGCGGGGGGTGGGGGGGGTACCAAGTACTGAATACGTATTTGTTCAAATGAGTAATTTTTTTATCCACAGTAGTTATGAGAGAGAGAGAGAGAGAGAGAG